CATGAATATACTGTCAAAAGCATTGACTCTGAATTGTCCCGACCCCATAGAGTTGATATTCTCTATAGAGAAAAATGTTGGTAGCACAGCGAACAAGCCAACGACAACCAAGTTGATATTCTCTTCAAAATAAGTCAACCAGTTTATTGAAAACCAATTGTTGAGAAAACCCAATTAGGCCTCAGTTCTTTTCAAATTCGTCGTGCCACTGTCCGAATGTAGAAAAAGTGGGTGCTCGCACAGAGCACCGAAGATTGTTGGACGTCAAATGTCCTATCTTCAAGCGATTATCGTGTAACAAGCGCTTTCGAACAACCCATTTGTTTGATTTCTTTGGAAACTACTTGTACCCGCAATTCCCGTAAGGAGAAGCAGTCAGCATGTGTAGAATGAACTCCGAGTATACAAGGCTGTACCTTGATTTTGCTGATTTCAACTCTCCGTTGTATTTTCTATGTAGCTTCATGATGGCTGTCTACCTAGTAAGCACCCCTTTACATGAAAAAAGAAACAAATGATAAGGGCGACCTGCTCACATTCTCAAGCTGGCTGGACATTCATATCAGTTGCTTCCACTGGAATCAGAGTTCGGTCAACCAGCTGCCCCTAGTTGTCCTACAAGATCTCACCACGAAATGTTACACACAGTGCCCGTTGAATGTATTGGTTGACAGACGCAGGAGCAGATCTGGACCCGAAACATTCGAACATAGGTTGCGAAAGGCTGTACACACAATGGTCTCATTAACTTAGCATGTAGAATTCATAACACGATTTCCCGACGTTCGGGAATGCTATCGAGACATCAAATGAACAATGTCAGGACAAGCTTCTGATGTCTAGACTCACTTCAAACTCGAGAAGGTTTAGTGTTAATGGAAGGAGTTTTCCGCAAATGTCAGAGCGAGAGTCCACAGACAGTAAGGTGTATATGCAGATCGAAGTCTATCAATCGCTTGAGTATTGAACCAAGAGAGATTTCGTTAACTCTGCCTTTTCCTTTGTATTTTAGATACCTTGCAACTCGAGTTATTTAGCCTCATGTGGCGTGTCCGTACCGCATACATGAGACGAGCGGACTCAGACTAAATGTAAGTTATATCCGACTGAATTTTACCGATATATCGTTGTGCGTTACGATACAATTACTAATCCCCGTCTATCGTACGCTCTCAAAATTTGGTCACGATGACACCGTAGCCCACTTTTCTGCGAAACCGCAGTCGGACAAGTAGTCTAAATGCTCGGGCTTTGGAGACATGGCTTGGTAAGTTAAGAATTATTTGACAACACCAGACGCGTAGTACTTTGGCTGACAAGGCAGATGTCTGTCAGGTTGGGTGGCTCTCACAAAACAAAGCATCATCGTCTACGAAATAACTGGGTTGGCTTTGAAAACCTAGGCTGACCCTATTTGAGTCTATCCGAATTCAGGTTTGATCAGGTCAAGTTAAATTTGCCTTATGAAATATTCCGCATATAGAAGGGCTTCAAATTCGGAACCAGAGGTTTAGAATGACAACTTGATTTAATAGCGTTTTCCAGAAATGACCGCGTTCACTGCTGGGACTAGTAGAATAACCAGCATCCCGCGGTTGTCCGTGGGTTATTCAACGATCGATGAGGTTACCGGCGACGTTCACAATACTGACCGCTAGTTTTAACTGCACTAGACAGCTTACTTGACTGTATTGCAGACAATGATAATATCGTGAAAAGAAGAGGAGTAATGGATAATAAGACCAGTCTCCGATTTTAGTCTTCAGCTGACTTTGCCCCTTTTATCGCCATAAGTAGAGTGGTGCAGACGCGTTCCCTGTTGCCTATGAGACGAGGAATGGGCCACATTCTCTCTACATTCAACTCGAAACTCATTCCAAGGAATGTACATTCAGTTAACGACATTTTTCTGTGGTAAGTGCCAGACATTTGTGGTATTATAATTCAGGAGAATAGAATGCTGCTAAGACGGTTTCTTTGATTTCCACCAACCACCGCTGACCAGAACTCAAATTGTGCAGTGCTGATGACGGCGTACTGTGCTCTGATTTGCTGAACATCCACCGATTAGCTAGTCTCTCGTAAAAAGTATCGTGGGAACTCATCGCGTCAGCTTAGACAGTTAGAGTGGTTGGTAGAGGATTCTTTGCGCCCGCGTAGGTAGACAATCTACCCGCTAGTTTTATCGAATATGATACCAAGAAAATCTGACGTTTACTGCAATTTTCGAAGATAATATAGATAAAAAATTGACGTTGGTCGTAAGTGATTGTTATGAACACTTGAAGTCAAAAGCAAGTTCATTGGTTGAAAAATTCCACTTGAAAGACAGATTTAACTGAACACAGAATTAAACTGAACGACACTGGTGCCAAATTTTTGAAGTGATCTCACGTTTAGATCACACCATTTTGAACAGCCGTCCGTCTGTCTTGGCATATAGCTTTGGTGACTACACGCCAAGGTGGGGAAAAACTAGATATTGATTAAGAGACATCCACAGTGTCTGTGCCGGGGTTTGAACAATGGACATCCAACAAGTTGCTACCACTACTCCAGCAGCTCACGCTTGGAGCAATCGAAACTTCACGTCTGACTAGGCGATCGTGTTCACGCTTGGGCGATGTGAATGTTCCAAAAGACGCAATGAGTTTAGTCCGGTGAGAGGGAGTTAAATGAATTCAGGGGAGGCAAAGTTACGGATGGGTCCGATTCGTATACCAAATACTCCAGTAACATGGTTTTCGGTTTTACAGTGGAAACGATCGTGAAGATTCATAATTCATCGTTGTAACGCGGCGATATGCGCTACCATAGGTGTACCGATTGAAATACCAATATCATGCTACCCCACAAACCAATAACACTTCAAGAACCGATGCAACTACCTACAATCGAATTAGTGTACATCACGAAATTACAAATTAGTCTCACCTACAGTCAGTTGTAGCACCCTTTACGTTCCCAACTGCCATGCATGAAGGCTTGGTACCTACTAGGTAGCCAAAGCCTAGACAGGGGTAGTAGAGGTGCAGCGTTTAAGTTCGAACCACGGACTATGAGGTCAGTAAATTCGCACTCTAACCACTGAGTCATAACGACCCGCGCCCAACCCTACAAAATATCAACTCGTCATTCTCAGAAAAAATAAATGGGGTTAGTGTGTCCAATGTTCTTTGCTTTGACCAAGATATTTGTATGTAGGAATTTTTTAAGACAAATCTTTAGCAAGACTATAACATCGGTTGAGTATACTCTAACGTTACGTAGAAAAATTCGGCTTGTCCAGTCAGGATAAGGTCGAGGTTTTCTACTAATTTCTGAATGCCTTGAGTCCTCACATTAAGCTCATCCTGTAGCCACTCTGATAGTACGACCATTCCTGAACCAATGGACACTAAAGCTTTTGCATTCTACTCATTGGCTCATCTCTAAAAAGTATCGAATAGTACGGCAGAAATATTCACTAGACCAGAGTGCACAGAACGGATTGACCAAAAAGCAGTACAAACAGATGAATCACTGAGAAGGACGAAAACTACAGTGAATTTTTCTGAGTGATAGCTGACTCAGTACGAAGACCAAAAAAACAGGATCAGGAGAAAAAACCGCAGGCTTATGGATCTATAAGAATGTGGCGCATGCGAGGGTAGCATCTTTAAGAGAAAAGCTTCAAGCGGAGTAATGATTTAGTGGGGTGGTAGCCTCTCGTTTGAGAGAATTACGGGTGGAGTAAATGAAACGGAAGCTACAGACTTCGTCACACATTGGTGTCGGTGAGGAAGAGAAGTCCCCTAGCTAAACACCAGGAAACGCAGACCAATCTCAGGCGATCAATGTTGACTCCGCAATCGCGGAACATGCACCGGGCACAAGACACAGTTCGAAGACCTTCAATTTTGGAACGATTATCTATATTCACACCGCGGTAGCTAACAGCGTACGAGGTTAAAATCGCCAGCCATCACATCGTGAATAAAATAAAACATGAAGAACTGGGAAGCTCATAGTGAGTGGTTTTATATAAGCCGAGTTGACACTTAGATGTGTGGGGAATCATCAGCAGTGCGCATCTCACGAAACTCCGGAAAGTCTCGAACCCGCAATGTCCTGGCTGGTAGTTTGAACGCTTAACCGTTTGGCCCAGGGCGGCGACGGCTTTTCAGCTCAAATCGGCTTCACTTACAGGACAAAATTATCACAAAAATCACAAAGCTCCTCACACTACTAAAAATTTCAAAACTTTTCGACCTCACAACTCAATCACTTTGCCTGACACGTCATTCGTTTTCTACAAACAGGTACTCAGTAGTATATTCACTGATTTCTCCACAGACCATGCGGAACAATAGAAAATTCAGCACAATTAGGGATGATCGATTTGGGAAAGGTTTTCAGAGAAGCAACTGAAATTACTGAAATTTAGGGATTGCAGTGACCAGTAGATTCACCCAGGATTTATCATACTAGCCCATAAATGTCAGGGTAAGCCAGCTCTCAGTTTGCGGAGTCTTACATAATTGAACTAATTTAGCTTAGCTTTTCGTCCACCTGTGAGTCCAACGGAATAATGGTCGATGAATTAACGGTCTGGAAGGTGATTTCGATTTCGTTACTTCCACAAATCATTTGGTAACTGTCCGAACCCAGGTGGTAAAAGATTACTGAGATGCCTGCCCAGTTGTAACCACATGATACCCTCTATTTTGCCTCAAATGTGCCGTATGGTCCTATAAGTTAACATGTCGACTGTGTCCAGTAGCTCATTGATTTTCTCGTGGATTTCATGAAACCGAGTTTTGAAAAAATACACATTACCCGTGGAAAATGACCCTGCACCTTGACTAATGAATTAACGCACTTGGCAGAAATCGCAAGTCATTTCCTACGTTTGCTTCGAAAATACTCTCCAAAATTTCGGAACACCCAAAAGTAGCGGGAAAACAAACCGTTATATCACAATAGCGGAACAAGCATTAGTACATGGATGAAGCCTCTCAAATCGGTTCGGCGAATCCCACAACATCATTATCCACGTCGTAAATGACGGCAAAGTGACGCAGAAACGAGATGCCCATGATCGCATTGTACGAGAAAGGTAGGTTTGCAGGTTGGATTGTTGATTTACATTGTCCGATGTCCAGCTGGTTGAACGAACCAACAATTTTCAAATGATCAAATTTAATCAACAACCCATAAAAGGCTAGTTAAGTCAATTTAAGTAGCACCTTATGCAACTAGGGGAAATCCCTTCGTAAAAATTTACCAGGTTATTTCGATTGTCTAAATAATACTATTAAGGTTGGAATACGAGAAGATGTCCAAAGTACTCTTTAGTTAAGTCTTCTCACAAATAGACAAAAATGCGGATCAGTTTGTCTGGTCAACAAAATCAACTAGGGGACGAATGATATATGTGATCACAGAATAACTCTACGTGGGTGAATGTTCAAACTTCAAACGTGTGCAGGATGTGGTATGTGAAATTCTACGAAGGCATGATTTTTGTGAAGGTGGAACACGCATCTAAATTCTTGATGGTCTGCAGGCCAACCGGAACATTTCCGAAAAATGTTTTCTGCTCCTAGGATGCGGGTAATTCACTGACCTGAAAACAGGGTAGTGCTCTTCTCCTGGATAGTGACGTGATAACCCAAGGCAAATAAACCTATGGAAGAACTCATGGAGAGGATGAAGCGATCTCGCTTTCGATGCAGATGAAGGTATGAGACCGACTGATAGTGTTTAATAAGCTCATATTACACAGGAGTTCTTACCTGCTCAGTGTATTTGTTCGCTTCCCATTTTAATTGGTGACCTTCGAGATTCAGCAAAAGTGTGGGCATGAGGCGCATCGCATCGCACCGAACAATTAGATCGTCCAAATTCGCTTGTTTCCAAATGCCGGAAAAAAGATTATCGGCGAATGATGTCGGTAGATATGTTCTGTACGCTCCGGTGTCAAGCAGTGCTGAGAGGTCCGAAGCCAGAACGGTGCCATCTTCGTACGTAATACTGAGAACGACAGTTTGGTTTAATTTACTTCAATCTCAAAATCAACTTTCTTTGCCAGATGCTAACAAATGTGGTCAGTTATCTTCAGTAATCACCCGCCAGTGCCAAATGGTAACGTGAGTAAGGGAACATGAATTTAACTTCATTCTTGTCCACCAATTACACGTGTTTTCTATGCAACAGGGTCTGACTAGCAGTTAGGCTGAGTAAGTTGCACCAAGAAAAAACAAGATTATATAAAAGCCGGCACCGTGGAAGAAACATCTGAAATTATGACATTTATCTAAGGGAAAGTAAGGCACTAGAACTGTGCAAGAGTGATCTACTTATTTGGTTATGCCTAATGGTAAATGGAGCCCGTATTACTTTTACGCATCCTTAAGTTAGGGTCATTTTTTATATTGGAAAGAAACGCAGCAGAAGCGGGCTAGGTTCAGAACACAACGCCAGGTGTGACACCTAACGTCTTTCAAATGAATAAAGATAAACGCCCTGTTCCACTTCTCAGTTCATGAAACTAGAAATCTCATCCTGTGTGTCAGTATTTTAACACTGACCATTCGGGCAGTGTAATCTAAGCGAAACTAGGTGATATTTCTATGCCTTCTCTGTTGTATTGTCATGCTGTTTGGCTGGTCCGCTTTCAGTTTTGATCAGAGTTCTAGTTGAAGTCTATAGAAACAAAATGGAACTTGAAGTTCACGGTGGAAGTATTCCCCTATACGTTCAAACCGATCTGATCTTCATGTGCAACTTTAGTTAACCTGTCAGTAGTAGCAAAAATCCTTGCTATGAATACTTTTGAGACGTGTACCAGTTAGACGATTACAGGAAATAGAACGTCAGTTTCTGTCGAGAATTGTTTCACACACACCTTTAGCTGTCTATAAATCGTAGCTGAGGGAGAAACACCATGTGTATTTATCATCACTATTTACATGTATGTCGTTAAGTGAAACCATAAACTCTTAAGCTGTACATGCTTTTACAAGAAGACAGTAAGTTTCCGTGACAGACACAAGTGGGTGAGCAATTTGCAATGGTGGAAGAAGTGCACCAATCCTCAAAGACGTAGCTCATTGGTTGACGGTGAAATCCTTTTAAGGAAGAAACGGATGCCAGGTCAGCTCACATCTCTCTGAGGAGTTCTAATCAGGGCGAGAGCCCTCGTGGATTGCTGAACCCCGTAGTTTTGTTTACTCTGTGAAGCATTTCGTCCTGAGGTGCTTTGAAGGGCCGATAATTCCACTGAAAACCGTATGCCACATAAACCGCAAAAATGGACGCACAAAGGGGGATGCATGTGGATCGCGGCACGAGCTGCATATCGCGTAGCTCGTATTTGTGACGCAGTTAATGATGGTTGCAAACTGGTTCACTGCGTATCACTGTTATTTTTCTCTACTTATGATGGTTCAGCATCAACAAGATTTGCTTTGGGTCCCGTTAACTTAAGCGCTTATGCGGGGATGCGTTCATGGGAGGAAGCATTCTCTGAATCTGATCCTAGAATTGAATAGAGCATTTCCTGAAAATGGTATGCCTTGGAACTTGAATGAGTGCGAATCACCCCATTTTGTTAACGTGATAGTTATCCACTTTAATCCCATGTGTAACCGTTCATATTCCAACTGACTGATTCATAATTACAAATTTTTAACTTACTAATTAAATTACTCCCAAATATTTTCGTCCCATAGTGCGATAGCAGTTCATCCATGTTACGTGGACGCAAGTAGTGAGCACGAATGGCTCAAAGTCTAGGGACCCAAACTCTGGCCAACAGGTCTGCGGTTCAGAACTACCCACTCTAGGATTTCGGTGCAGACTGTTGCCTTCATGCTCGTGTTTCCTTCGGGTTGCACGGCAGCTGCGTACCATACAAATACTTTGCTCACGACATAAAAAGATGTTGTCTATAAGACCCTTGTAAAGTGCAGGGATACGGCAGGCGGATATTTGACGTCAGGAAACATGGACGAAAACATACAATAGGTACCTCTGCCGTATTATAATTTGCTTCCTGATGTGGCCTTCATACTGCAAATGATCAGTCGATTTCGGTTGGATCATTTGTCCCTGATTATTTCCACCGAAATTTGACAAATTGTCGTCAAAGGAAGGGATAACATGTGCCGCGGTCCATTTGAACGTGTCCTGCGCTGATGGATAAATGTGTCATACCGAAATATTTTCTGTTTGTTTTAGGCAGGATATCTTCTACATTTGCAAAAACGTCTGGTCTGTAATCAGAGATGATCAAATGCTTGTGTTGATGACAGTTGATTGAGTATGTCGGTGTGAAACGATCCCCTCAGGTTTGGAAAAACGCCCATATTACCGCAGACGACGACATAAGCTTACAATAAGCTATAGAAAATACTCAAAAATATGACACCTTTTATTTTGGGACTCACCTTTTGATCTTGATTACCCATTCGTCTTTGTTGACTACAGGAACATAGTTTACTGTCCCCGAAAAACGAGTCTTTGAAATGTCTCCAAATATGACTGTTCCAGATGATCCACCTCTAAACATAAAGAAAAAGGTTACCGAAATCTAGAACCACATGACTTGAAGCAAGCTCGGGAGTTACCACACCATCGTCTGATGCTGTTCGATGGTGTGGCGGTGATAGTCTCTCTACACATAAAGCCTATCAGGGCTGCAGCACAAAAGGCCACGTATGAGACAAAACTGCAAAAGGTCAAAACCTTCCGGTTCTGAGTATATTATCCAGCATAGTAACGCCTGGACTGGACGGGAGTGTTCAAAGTGCACAGTCAAAAATGTGCCGTTTACACATACGCACAATAAGTGATATTAGCAACGCATGCAATCAAAACTGTCCGGCAGCTCCACTCCCATTATCCATACGTTAGCATTACAGCGAGAAGATCTCAGCAAATGGCTGTATGTTGACATATAGTTCCTACATGTGTTCCAGGTATCGCGCTGTCTGTAATCAAATTTCAAAGATAACGGTCAGGTTGTCCACTCAACTGACGCGTTATGACAACTATATTAACTCCATCAATCATAAATAACTCACTAACTTTGCTATCCTGTGATATTGTTCGGGGCAACTTAAACCTCCGTTTATACCCACTGTGATCCTTCACGCATTAGTTTAGTTCTCCACACAAGTATTCAAATCAATCTGAGTAGGCATTACCATCTCAGAACTGGATGTTTTTGTCAGTTTTTTGTTTGATTCTCTCCAGGATGAACAAATTCCACTGAATTTTGGAACATCAAGGAGACTTTAGTGAACACATTACCGAGAGGACTTTTGCAATGGGCGGAAGCGATGGTGGGCTTCCCATGGTATTTGTCAACCTTATGGGTAGCGTTGACAGCCCTACCAATGTTTTCTTCAAAGTGTCGTATTTCTCTATCATTTTTACTAGGGAAATATCCCAAAGTATTTATTTCCTCTCTCACAATGTAATCAGATTGGCTGAGACAAGTAAGAATTAATTTTGTGGAAATACTCTTGATTATCAAAGTTACTAAACTTCCACTTCATGAACAGTCCCACAAGCTAATTAAAATATCTCGATTTTTCTTAAAAATTCAAGACCGCATTTTAATCACGTTACGTTGTCAAGTAACTGAGTGAATATTGATGGCCAACAGACCTCAAGATAGTAAAACTCCTAGGTGGTAAAGAGACTCAGAAGGTGATATATTATATATATAATATATATATATATATATGTGGTTCAAACCAGGCTAGATCAATTCCGCCAAGCGTTCCTGTTTCTGGCATAAGTTTCCCAAGCATAGCGTCATTGTGAAAAGAATCGTGAACAAAGACTGGTTCTGCACGAGTCGTTGCTAGAAACGTTTCAACCTACTCCTACTTGCGCACGAATTTGATTTTGACCGGAAGCTCAAATGAACTTAGCTGAATATCTCGTTTGTTATAGTTTACATGAATGAGTGCTGAGTCGAGAAAGGTTTGCTTCTCACCGAACGATCCGTAACTCGGATACGTTTCCGTTTGTTCTGCACATGAAAACGTTGTTTACTTTGTGGTAGTAAGGCACCGAGTCTTTTGCAAGTCTGTTGCTTTTCCAAACGAACTAATTTACTTGCCAGGTCACTGTAAATATCCTCTAGTGACTGACCCTGATTCAACACGCGAATCGAAACATACCGTCGGACTAGTCGCAAAACTTGGAGGTGCAGAGATCAACTTTCAGCGAGAATGTCCGATATCATGAAAAAGAGGAACACACATGTTATTATGTGTTTCAGCACTTAGTAGTATTTCCGCAACTAATTCAGAATTGCCGGAATCATTCCTATAAGCTTATTGGATCGATCTACATTTTCACTGTACGTCATATTTGGGATAAAGACGATAGACCAGGGAGAGATGTCACATATTCCGCTGTGATATCTGTACCCGAGTGTTATCCTATATGAGTGCCTTTTTTATGAGATCCTTCGAGTAAGACCTCTTCCCAGTGCGCATTTTTAGCGTTTTCCTCATACTCTCTCTCGTTTGATCCCTCAAGACCTGAAAATACAATCTGTTGGCACGCGTACAAAGGGTTAAATGGTCTGGTTTTAAGAACTCTACTAGTGCAGAACGATTGAAAATTTAGTACCATTTATCATAATTCCCGCAAACCAAAATTAATTGTAAACAAAGTGCATACCCACGAAAAACAGCCACTTTGAAGCCAAATATAATCGTACAATTCCAGTGCTTCGCGTTGGAACACATCCACGTGTGGTCACTCTGGATATCGTGGTTAGGTGGATAACATCTTCTAGTTCATGTCATTCGATAACAAATTAACACAGTGATTATTGTTTCGAATAAGTCGCACGTGTCTTTATCTTCAAAAACACTTGGTCACTAAAAGCAACACCCCTGGAACCACTGTAATCTATCCATGGACTAACCTGTTGAAGATCACCAGGACTTATGGTAAATCCTCTTCTGGAAATGATTTTGACTTCCGGGTATCTTAGAGCCCAGTACAAAGTGAAGTCAGGCAACACAGATGCACCTCGAAATTTTTTTTCAATTTCGTCTGTCACGGGTGCGTAATTCAAAAGGAAACATCTGCTGCAACACCCATCCATACATCAATGTGACCTGTGGATAATAAACTTCTAAGATTTTTAGGAGGGAAATCTCACCTGAGGAGATTAGCTTATACAAATGGTTTCTGTATGACTGCGATAGTCAGCTTCTCGTCCGCAGTTAAACATGTTGACGCTAGTGTCAGACGTGAATGAGTTCAGTCAAACTGCTCTCCCAATACCTCGTTCGTGAAGAACGTTAGCTGTCATCTCGGACGAGCTTCCCGGTAATTGCACCATCTTGAGTTCCGGTAGATTGGAAGCCTCCCCAGAAGGCTATCCAAAATAAAATCGATCAAGTATGAATTCCCATGTTTATTGGGAATTCCCATATTACATTGTCAAGACTTACACTGAGTTAATCAGCCCAACCCTAGACAGCGTTTAATTACACATGGGATCCAGATTCTGAATGGAGCGAACGAAGTAGTAAACGTATTTTGCCAGAATGAGAAAATGAATCTCATACGTAAACTGACTGGATCCCCAGGTGTTTGGGACAAAATCACCTCGATTTCACACGAAATCGGCTTGATGCCGTCCTGCTCCAAAAAATACTTGTAATATTATTTTGGAAATCGACTGCAAAAAATTACCTACCGGTCAAAAATGAAGGCAAATTGACGTTTTGGAATCACCTTTTGAGCGACCATATCATCCAATGGAGTTGTTTTGAACTCTCGAAAAAGCTGCTTTTTTCCAAGACCAAAGATCCCGTCAATTGTATATAGTTGATCCACATAACCTTCTATTGTATTAATCGCAGCGAACTCCGTGCGAAACGGACGTTTGTTAAACTGGAAATCGATTTGTTTTGTTGTGGAAAAGATTATCTACTTACTTTCACGAGATCAGAGAAGATATCGCCTCTGGCGATATAGTTCCCATATCGAAGAGTAATCGATCCAGATTTGCGGACGACTGCCTCTGGGACGTACGCACTACGGACCATCGGTCGCTCTTGCGCTAGCCTCATACTAGGAACCCACAGAATCGGTGACCCGGTATCAAACGTCAATTTGAAATACTGTGTTGGAGACCCGACTTCCACAATGCCGTAATAAATGTAGCACAAGAACAAGTGAGAACATGTTGGGTTTGAGCGAAAAACTCACGTTTGAATCGTAAATTGTGATTTCGATCTCGGGCTTGACGCCATTCTCTCTCTTGTGTTGCTGTGCTAACACGCTACTCAGTGATATACTGAAATCATTAATGTACAATTCGATGAAGTCTAATGAAGCTCACTTCACCGTACTCGGTTCGACAAAGACCCAGCACATGACGATCGTCAGAATAAGTTCCAACATCCTCAGTTAGTGGTGCTCACTGTCAGTTCGAACCAGTATTTAACCAACCCGGTCGCTGTTGTACACAGATTCTATTAGACCGCTACGAATGGGGTACGGTAATTGGCTTTCACGGGACTTCAGTCATCAGGCCGTGTGGCGAAAAGTCACCGAACTATCTTAAATGCCGGATAAGCTCTGACAGCTGACTTTCATAGAACTAGAATTTTGCTCCACCATCACAGCCCTTACTATACTTCCTACATCATTTCAGGCACAGGCTGTCAGAAGAAGTAAACAAAACACTATACTCTACTAGCGTCACTGGTTTCCATACCGTGCTTGGAATTATTTGCTAACGTCGCTCATAGAATAAATGTACAAATCAACACGCTGATTTCTACATAGATTTATGTCACACTTTTCCTGGCCTACTCATTTAGTTTACTATAATCATGGTTGAAAAGGATCCTAACTTTTTTCGAAGATACATCAGCGGTTTGCCGTTCATTAGTTGATATGGTTTGCGGTCGAACGATATATTAATTAACGCACAATTATTAATTAGAGAATAACGTCGAGGGAAACTGGCACGCTATGCCTGATGGACCCCAAAAGGGCCGAACCGGTCGTGGGCTGTCAAAGCGTTTCAAGCAACCTCATCAGTAGTATGCTAAGTTAAGATAAGTAACCGCGGATTTTTGAGGCCGCCTGGGGTATTTTCTGCAGGCTTTTCACTGAGGCTCAGACGTGTGGTGGTAGCACATTCTACCACCTAGTCAAACGGGGTGGTTTTCGAGAGACATATCTTCCGGTGAAAGAACGGTGCGTTTTAGACCGCGAGAAAACAGCGAGTAAAAACTACGCAAGCTTGAGATGGATCAGTATTCGAGGAGTCACTGAACAAACTCTTAAAGGCTTCACTCAGCCAAATTACTCTAATCTCCACTCCAAGTCATCAAATCAACATCTATCTAACCATGCGACCAGTGTCGTTGACGATCGCCCCGCGGAACAGTCGATCACGCTAAAACATTCGTAGGGACAATGTGAGTCATTTGGTTGAAGCAAGTTCCCAGCCTCATTCCTGTGAAAAGCATTATTACTTCCCGGGGTGAGAACCCGTATTGATGATAAGCGTTGCATGATTCATGCCCCCAACTTCAAGGGAACACAGCTCAGATACGCAAATAAATAGTGGCCTGAGGGCTACAAAACCCTTTTGAACGCACAAGTAGTGCTTGTTTAGCTAAGGTACCCGGTCAGTATACCTCAGGAGTCTGTCGCTGAATTCACTACTGAATTTCAGTTATCATGCAAGTAAACCAGATATATAGTAGCTTGTATAGTGGCCAGTCGCTTCAGCACGTGTGTTGATACGTGTAAGAATCCAACTCCTAGTGAGAATCCACCCCAGGACACTGGAAATAAGCTACTCACACAAACGAAACCACTTAAATTTTACATTCTTTCTAGAGTAGAATTACTATGTTTTGTGAAGGTACTTATTCGGCCTGAAACATTCGACAGCCTAGAATTTCAACTGACACACTTTCCATGGCCAAACGTTTCATTTTACAAACAACAAGGCGGAATTTTCAACGCGTTTGCTCAAACGAGTGATCAATATGTGCTTGAATCCATGGCAGTCAACCAGTCGATAAAGCGATCCACGGGTCCAATCCACCGACCAGATTCCGAAATCGCTTTGACAGTTGCGTTAAAATAACTTACACCAGTGGTACTCAGATGCCTGAATAAGTCAGCGCAGATAGTTCTAAACTATATGATCAATGGCACAGAATCCATCGCGTAGTATACACTTTGATTTTCATTGATTGTACATTGAACTAGTGACGTTAAAGCCTGCCGAACGTGAAAAACGACGTTGTCAAGCTGGAGAAGCAATTTTACTCCACTCGTCGAGCCACTGTAATGCGTGGCACGCTTCAAACACCACAATTATACGTTGAAGATGCGCATCAACTAATCTACGGCAAGCTGACGCATAAAATGACTGGAGATTCTGTAAGTTGTTGATGAAGGTAGAGAATTTAGCAGGCAGTCATTAAAAAAACTACCAAATCAGTCGCCGAAAGACGAACGTGGGCGATCACAACCCGGCGTAAACTTTGAGTCAAGAAAGGCATCCAGGTGCACACATCTATCGACACCCGTTTGTTCACGCATTTTAATTATTTTGCCAAAGTGTTCAATGAGGTCCTCGTGCTGCAAGTAATACTAATCTGCACCGGAAGGACGATGATTATTGTATAACTCATCCTTATTGGGGCTCATCAATGGTGCAAATTCCAGGAAACTGTGAAACTGTGAATAACTAAACGCCGGAAAACGTGCGGCTGAGAAGGTTTTTTAGCAACTTTCACTTGAAATTGTGGCACTCTTTCTTCAATCCTGTAAAGCACAACACGCGTGCTGCTGAACACTGAGAACCACGCCATGCGCCGTGTCTGTTAGATGCCTCACGATTGGGCTCGTTTTCGCCCTCGTATTTTCAGAATCTACCGAGTGTTCCGGTGCTGAGTTCCTATTAACGAGTGCAAATGATTTGGTGCTCCACATTCGACCTGAGATGCGTCACCTGTGTTGGTCTGATAGCCACTTCTAGACAGATGCTACAGAATGGCATTCATGTTTATATTCTGCACTACTGGAAAACATCGGCCAATTTCAGTCTGAATTGCCGACTCATATCATTTAATCTAATATTCAGACATGTCATGCTCTCAGGGAGGATGAATTTTCTCCGCCTACCTACTTCTAAATATCACGTGACACCATCCTCATTGTACCGTCCTAAATGCTCCCTCAAACCTACCTTGAACCATTTTGGTACGACGATTGTACAACAATACTCCATCCCAAAGTTCCTGTAATTGCTTCCCAATAACACTTAAATGTAATCAACCTTTACGGCAAGAATGATGCACTTGGAGAGAATTACTTCAATGGTGGATTTGGTTTCATCTACCAGTTGTGAATGACATCCAGATAAGCTACACTCAAGCTGCACGGCGAGATGGAAGTAATGTCTAGTATGGATCACATTATTAGGTAACCACCAACAATTGATGCGCAAACCACCGGCGGAGAATTCGCCATTCCCGAAAATTGGATTTCGCTGTGAATGATTCTGGTGGCTCCGATATTGTAGGTGAATGTTTTTGCTTTTTGCTATGCTTGGTAATCTGACTACATTCGTTTCATCACCAATCGAGCTGAAGCCATTTTATATACCAGTTATCATTACACCTCCACGAGGTTACCGTCGTCGAGGTTTGGCGCTTGAGCCATATTCCCATGGGATTTTCGAAGTTCAGGCCCGACCTACCAGTCCGTGAGAAATCAACGTTTCGCAGTTTGGTGGAAACTGATCACTCCATTTCTTAACTGAATTAGACCCACGAGAATTATGATGATGCAAATTTATGCATGGGCACTCACACACGATTTTTACGGATCGCAAACCAAGCTTGCTACTGACGGTCACATCTGCACCTGATTGAAAATGCATAACAGTAGGCGTTATCAAGTTCAACTATTTCCCTAATTTGATTTTGCAAGACAAAATTCGAACACTCAGTACACATGAAGAACACATTTTACGCTAAGAGACGTTCAACCAACAAGGAAGTATCGCAAGAACCTTGTGAAAGTGGAAGCCACCAATTTTTAATAAGTGAGGTGGAAAGCGAACAACAATTCAGCGCACTGGAAGCTGCGTCGGTGCACTTTAAAAAAAACTCATTTTAGTGTTCGATGAGATTGACCGAAGAAATGAAATTCAGTCAGGTCGAGTAAGACAATCAATATAATGAGATTTGACAGCGCGTCAATAACTCCATATCCTGTCCAACTGAGAAGTGATAAACCACACAGCTGGTCAGCCGATAACGATCTAGTGTTTAACTGCTCACCCAGTGGGTGGAATATTGCGGGTTCAAAATTCTCTGTGTTTCGTGAGATGATTCTCACAAGACTGAAACACACATTGGTCTTATAGAGTGTGATCTATCAACAGCACATATCCGTAGAGTAGTACGGAATTCCAAAAAATTCCTCGGTAGCATATTTTCTCAAATGTCGGCCGACAAGAATGCGAATAAGCAGTGCTTTTAGACGACAGACATCAGTAGATAATTATGGTGGCGCCAATCACGTTCATCGACCGATTGTAGAATACTGGTCTGTGAATGGAACCGTGAGATCACGGCAATGACGGAGTCTTACTTGAGGCATCCTGTTTCATTTTAATGTATCGTTGAACATAAGAAAGTGAATAATCTTTCGAGTTCTAATGAAAACTGTCATCAATTTATTATCCAAATAGATTATTCTAAGATGTACACTCTCAATGGAGTTCTCAGCATATAGTCTAATCAATCGTGTCCCAATTAGCTGTTACCGGACTCGATGCAGGTTCCCATATACACGCGCATGTCAGAGTGAGGACACCTCGAAAGTATTTCGTGGTAAATGTTGATAAACATATACGTCCTCGCAAGCGGCTGATCCTGTCTTTCATTTTCCATCGGTCTGGAAGGAAAGAAGTTCATATGTAAAAATTACCGAAGCACTCTCTTCCAAGCTTGTCTGAATAATATGCCTTTTAACCAAACTGACATGCTGCTAACTTCGATATGCAAACAAATCGTTGAATACCTGCTCTGAAGTCCCTAATAGAGTTACAACCTGCATTGCTAACATAGTTCACAAGAGTCGGCTCTCCTAAGGTTGCACTGGGTAAGTTGGGAGGCCACAGCTCTTTAGCCATCGGTCCACGTAAACTCCCTCAACGAAGTTGATTGAACAGCTCATTCATTCGGCCGCCAACTTTACGACACATGTTACTGGATTTCACAACTGGCCCTCCAAAAGCCGCCTGACTACAGGTCAAAGTCAAAAGTGGTTTAGATTCCCAAGGCATACCGTAAAATCCAGACGTGGATGATCTCAGCAACTGTGGTGAATTTTGCAACTGCGTGCCGCTCATCTGCTTCGTAAAAATGTTCTTTAGTCACACCATGTCTAGCCAAGTCTAAACCATTAACTAGAGCAAGTTTACTCGTCACCACTGGTAAACACGACGGTAATTAGACGGTCATTAGATTGGCCACTTGAGTCCAACTATCTTCTGATCGACAACCACTGTCCCTAACGTACACACTTCCCACTGGGGAACTAGCAAGATAACCTGTCGGAGAGCGGGGTGTAAGAAGAATGCTCTAGACAGCATATTCTACCTTCCCCATGGTATTGTGCATATCTCACAAGAAACTGCCGTAATGAAGATTCAAACAGGCAGTTCGGCGAAAGAACGATTGGTGAGCAGACAGATACAAGTTTCCTCCATCCCTCTGCCACAGTAAGGCTAGCTTTAGAACCAGGTCTAATTTGATGTGTAGGCCTGGTTACGGTTATTCTCCAGACAGAGTTCCCACTCGAAGGTGGAGACCAGGTGCTTTCCGGTCGAGATATTACACGCAGTTATACACTTGTTTGATGAGAGTTTAAGAATTGAAGTGACATGTAGAAAACTGCATATCAAGATAATCTTTTGTCGACAAACCGGTAAACATTCCCCAGGTTTACTTCCGTATTTCACGCTCTCTTTGCATTTTGCTGGAGACAAAAGACAAAACAAACAAATTGTTGGATCTAGTTTGTCACCTCGTATTGAGTTGTCTCCAACCGAACGCAAGGAACATTCCTGCACGCTCTGCGAATCCACATAAACGAAAACCCTCTATATAGCTCCACATGAGACCTTTTCAAAGAACATTTCCATGGAACGATTTGGTTCAACAAGGATAAAGGCTTTGCTTTACTGCTGGTGGTCATCTTAGTCTGGTGAGGAATCGCAGTTCGGTAACGCTGATGCTCCAGTGGGTCGAATTGCCATATAGACAAAAAGCATTATCAGCTGAATAAAACCTGAACCTCAATAAAATAATTTCAAACATTGTCTACCTGACCGAATCGAACTGAGTTGAGAGCATCATCATTCTGGTTGAGGTTCACTGGTTGAGCCATGTTGCCGTGGCACTTTGGAATGTCCAACAAAAAAATTATACACAGAATAAATTATGGGCTCTTTTCTCCGGACTTGATCACGAGCCTATGAATAATGAATACCTCACATAATGATGACAACTGACCAGTTCATTTTGAGAATAGCATCATTAGCATCAGAATCAAAATGAGGCAGATCTATCCACAAACAATCTACACACGCGCACACGATGGTTGCGAGACATACACTTCAACCGTACTCAGTAAATGACCATGATCAAAACGAACATGTACAATTCCGCCTACTTTCCTACACTTACAGGCATAGACCAGTCCGATTTGAGGTGATCGCGTTAGAATCTCTGAGTGAGAAGCGACTTGGCTCGTTTTAGTTGAAAGTTACTTGACTGGATAAATGACAGACTGCAGTCTATGAGGTCAACCCAGAACTGTCAAAACCCCGTTCACTGTCCATCATTAAGGGCAGGATTCAATTCGAAGAACGTTGGGTTGAAATCATTTCGCCCGAATGGGTGAAGCTTATGGAAATATCTTCTCCGAATATTTCATACTCGAATCAGTGAACGGCATCCTACCACATTCGACCTATAGGACACTCAGTTGCTCAGTTGTCGATGTGCTGCTCGGAAGAGTTTACTTGTTACTGATCAGGTGGCGATTAGTCTGTCAGGCTAATTTTGCTATATTTCCTAAACAGTCACAAGAATATCATCAAAAGACAGTTAGGTGTTTCTTTGGCATTGATTTCAGAGTAAGCGCGTGTTTTTCTATAACCGGACTCTCGTGATCCAATTATATGACGGCGAAATATCCGGCACCATCTCGAACTCTGTACGTGGTTGATCGATTGGAAATTTATGTTGTATTAGTCAGAAACTTCCGATGGCTTGATGTATGGAAGACCCAAGAATTGAGTTGAGTCGACAGTTATGGTTGCTGCTGTACTTTTATGGGGATCCATCCTTCATTAAAAGTTCACCAAACATAAATCGCGCACTGAAAACAACGTGTGTTGTGGGTTGTGGGCGGTCATTCTCAAATTCGCGTTCAACATTCCGTATTGCTCGTAAATCGGGGCGTTTGACGTTCTGCGACTCGATGTATTACCCATACGATTTTCGTTGTCGTGTCAGCCATCACGACTCAGGTGACGTTTGGACAATGAGCGCATATGCACATTAAGCGACCTTAATGTTAACACCTGCTGTTCACCTGATGTTAACACTTGATGTTAACGACCTGATGTTAACACTAAACGTCCTTTATTTGCATCACGTTCGATCAAATAATTGGGCTTTTTTTAAAAAAAACTTTGTGGTGCGGCCATCTACTTCTCTTTCGGGTGGTTTTGACGAAAATCAGTTTATTTTATGCAAAACTGATTTTATTATATATTTCGTCTACCATCCAGTGACCATTGTACTTTGACCTAGGTCCTTGAAAAAAGACGTTTGTGATTCTAAGATGTGTTTTTATTTTTGAGTTCACTGCTCGCATTTACGTACATAGTGCAATAGCGCTTCTAGTCAACGGATTCCTGCATGATTTTGAACATATTGGTTTACTTCTTGATTCCATGCGCTAATCTCTGCATACTTGAGTTTGTTAAAAGTTAGAATAAATCTGTGTAACGGTACATGCCTCGCTGGTCTAATCTGGAGAAGATCCGAGAATCGGCAGGTAAATGTGAGCGCATTGACTGGGTTCAAAAACGTAGGTACTAATGCGGGCTAAGATATGTTTTTCTCGTGCAACTAACCGTATAACCCGCTAGAATAAAACTTCTGTAGATTAGGTTAGATTACATCACAGGGTTTAACTCTCAGTGGCTGTTTGTTACCTACTGAAGTTTGTAAAAGTTCACCGTACGTGGATGATATTAACCATTGAATGTTTTGGCCAATGAACATTGATCACATTGAATCGACTGCCCAGTCTTTGAGGAATCAAGGCTAAATGTTTTGTGTAATTTCCAGAAGGTGAACGTTCAGACCATTTGGCTTCGAACAACTTGCTGATTGATTGTCGATTCTTGCTACAGTAAATACAATTTCATCGGCCGTCACTAGGCACCATTGGAGGTTTATGCATGTAACACCGCAACGGAAGACCGGATCGAGTGCGGCCTCTCTACTGAAATCGCGCTGTCCGCTGTGGCAAATCGGCATGACACCAGTGTTCAACACCGCCATAAAACCATGATTCATTGGAAAGCCTTATTGTAAGGAAAAGAATAAAGGTGGACGGAGAAGGGAATTAGTGCTAGCTTACCACAATCGTTCCGAGGTGCCTATAACTTCAGACATTCACTCAGGCAATCGGGATAGAGACCGACAAAAATAACGCACTTGACATAGGTTGGCAGCCATATCCTGCAATGTTTTCAACCAGGCGCAGTAGGCATCACTCGGTCCCCATCCTGGAAGGCGAGTAGCACCGACAGCACCCAAGCGTTTGGTGATCCCCTTCATACACCTCCGCCAAATCAAGGGTTGGCCACCTCTCTGCTTATGACACTCTGAATTTGACATGGAAAACAGCACTTTCTTCGGCAAACGATGGTAGTGCGTATTAAAATGTAGCCTAACCGTTATACTTCTACAAATGGGTGCATAGAAGAAGCCACAAATGGCAGATTTAGATAGCGCCAAGGTTTTTCACTGTTCGTGCAATACGGGGTAGCTGTGCGACTTGGCTTACGAACCGACTTGAATATGGAGTAAGTGTATTAAGACAAAAAGAGCTGCTCTGACCAAAATCGGTTTCACGGGTTGATGTGGCAGGTGGTTAGGTCCAATTAGAAATCATGTTTCCATTGTTAGTGTGAAAGTCGATCAAGATGTAGCTTAACAAAAAACAGTGTTTGGAAACGAGCATTTTCAGGGTCATCTCACCCAGCACGGTATAGAGTTGGACAAAATAACCAATAAAATAACACAGACCAGTTGTTGATGAGGGTCTGAAGGAAATAAAAGGCAATGAGGCCAGCCTAAGTTCTGAAAAGTCCACTCAGAATTTCCAGACATGGCGAGTGGGATGGACCTGTATACTGGCTTGGCTCAGTTCTCATCTGACATGTATGGTCAAGTTGTGATGGCTCAGACAAGTAAGTTGCTTGCAAAATATCGGCACCCAACCTATTCTTCAAAGTGGACCAGCAAAATGTACTCATGTCCCCCCTCAGCGTCTATGTAGCATTGTTAATGACGCTGGCTGGCACTGGAGGCCAAACCCGACTTGAACTACAGCAAAGTATGCGTTTACCACCAGAGTTGGAAGGAGCCCCATTGCATGATATGTTTGGATCGGCACTCAGAAAGATATCTTCAGAGTCGAAATATGTCACTGCGTCATTGGCTAATCGATTGTTTGTGCTTCAAAATATGAATATTCGTGATGAGTTTGAGGACATCTTGAACAAAAGCTACTCTGCGGAGACAGAAGTGGTGAGCCAATTCTTCAAATAATGGGATTCTCTTCAGCTAGTCGACTATGCAGATATGGAAGCAAAGCGGCAGAGAATAAACCAGTGGGTTTCTGAGCAGACAAATTCAAAGATACCGGAGCTTCTTTCCGCAGGCGCACTCCAGGAAAAAAGCATAATGACTATCGTGAACACAGTTTATTTCAAAGGTAAGCACCACCATTGTTCCCATATGTTTATGTTTTTTAAAGGCTTGTGGAAGCTTCAGTTTGACAAGCAAATGACGTCGAACGGTTTGTTCCACCGCATAGACGGCAGTGCAGTGGAAGTACCCATGATGAAGGCCCGCAATTATTTTCCCTATCAAGATCTCCCTGAACTGCAAGCGGTGGCGGTGAAACTTCCGTTTAGAGATACTGCGTAAGTCCTCCGCATGATTTCCGATGGGGTTTAGCACATACATTTACTATGATACTATCAAACTCGTGAATAATATAGTGAGTACTCACTGAAACAATATATGCTTCTTAGATGAACGAAATTCTTCTTCAGGTAGGAACTGCTTGTGGTGCTACCGAATCAAAAGGATGGTCTTTCCAATCTGATGGCACATTTTCGCAACACTGATACCATGGGGACAATACTTGCTAAGCCTTTCGTCCAAGTGAAATTACCTCTGAGTCTTCCACGCTTCAAACTATCTGAGACACACCAGTTGGACATGAAAACGCTATTGCAATCGATGGGAGTGCAGTCAATTTTTGACGCAACGGCAGATTTTTCAAACCTCTCAGATGACCAAAATATATATGTGTCTGACTTGGTGCACAAGGCAGTAATTGAGGTAGGTGTCTTTTTTACCATTGTCGTATATCTATCATACGGAATCGAACCAAGCTAAGAATCGTCTGCTCTTTGGGCAGGGGAATTTCGTCAAGAGAATTATGCTTCCGACAAACCCAATTCGGGAGGTACTAATATCTATTCCGTTAGTTCAGCAAGTCATAACGTGGTTTGGGTTTTTAGATGTGGTTGGTTGTTGATCGCTAAGTAATTTGCTTTCTCCACCAGAAAATCAACCAATACGTACTCCACGAAACTTTAGTGATTGATCTTAACCTTACCTGGTAACTTATGTTCTAGGCTTGGTTCACGAGAAAGATTTAAACAACTACTCATTTGTTCCAGACAACTTGACCTCCTTAGTTGATATATCAACTGTAATAGGCCATTGTCTCACTTACTACAAGCCGTGATTGTCAATTTATGCTATTTTGGCACAAATTCCTCTTTAATACGCAGGTATCTTTCCTGGACCACATGTCTCCCTTTGATGCCTTACTAAAGAACATTGGTTGTTTTCTTACGCCAATCATCCAAAAAAATCGCTTGACTAAACATGTGTGTTTATGAATCCCGACAAATTAGGTCGGATGATTAGAAAACTGTTTTAACACGGCGTAGTACCTGTGTACAAAACAATATAGCCAAGAGAGAGCCATGACTATAAGCGTTGTGAGTGTACGACGATACGGATAAAGTCGTCGTTTTTCGTAAGGACTTGATAGCCTCTCAAATGACAATCGAGTATTTGCTCCGAAATGGAGATCTTATAACGCCTTAATAACGTAAATTTCAAATCAAAGAATCTCATAGGCCTCTCCTTTCAAACCAGCTGTAAAGTGACTGAATTTCGGAGGATAATGGTTGAATTGACGTAAATAGCTTTATCATGAAGCTATCCGTGAAACAAAAAGTCCAGAGAGGTGGTCGAAGAACAAACATCCGTTCAGAATGAGGTGTTATCAGTTGATATTTTGGTCGTTAACGATGAGATTTCCAAGTGTTGGGATGGAGGCCAAATTAGAACTGTTTTGTGGCAATGAGTGAATGACGGTCAGAAATAGAAGAGACCTCTTCATAATGTTATTTCAAGGCGATGTGAATCAAGTGCATCCTTTGCACGAGTTGAAAACGATGGCATTTTAAAATACTCACATCCGCTTTTCACTCCATTTCCCCATGATTTTTGGATCCTGGAGGCTGGTTTACTCTGATCTTGATGCATATCTAACATAAATAACTAGAAATTGATATTGCGGAGATATCTTGAAATCTTATGTAGGGATTTCATCCTTTGTCTAAATTCGCTTTGTGCTGAAAGACTGCGAAGCAATTCTACTGCTGTTTCACCATTAGTGCACTTCATGAGACACCATAGATCTCGAACCCATGAATTCTCGACTAGTGGCTTTGAACGTAATACACCCCCACGCACTCTTCAATTACAGAACCACATAACGTGGTCACTTGTGCTTACTGACACGTAAATTCAAGACTTTCATGTGGAATTTGCACTTTTTTTGAAAATGTACCTCATTTGAGCTACTTATTGATTATTAGTCGTCCTGAAGTGAATTACAGCTCATGGAGCATCCACTCACTAACTGATACAGTGCCATCACTGTTGTGGTTCTCGTCATATTCTATCTTATTTAACGTAATGGCACGCCCTATGTTGTTATATAAGCAAACTCTTTTGAAACTGACCACAGGCGGACATTAGACTCCCACAGTTCACCGATAGTTTAACCTTTCTCTCTCTCTCTGTGTGTGTGTGTGCAGGTTGACGAACAAGGGGCTGAGGCTGCGGCTGGATCCGGAGTTATTATTGGTCTGGCATCCTCGTTTGATAGAATGGAATTCCACGTTGACCATCCATTCATGATGGCGCTTGTTTACAATTCCACTATTCCTGCATTCATTGGACACGTTTTCGAACCTGAGGTCATGTAAATCTGGCCTAACGTGACCCGGAACATTTTTCACTTTTGCCGCAGTTGTGATTGTGTGGATCACAAGCGTACTCTGTAACCAACACATTGTTTTCTGCTCAAACCGTTAGGGTAGCCCAAACTGAACGTTAACGGATGGTAACCCGCTGTTGTAGGCGTATTCTTGTGGTCGTTTAATTTGAGCGACTCATCTCAGAGGACAGCGCTTTTGCATCTTTCGCAGTCTCTTCCCGCGTTTGGGTGGCTTTGTGAGATCGGAAACGTGTTCAACGTCCAAATGACGTAATGGCTGACAGGAAAACAAAAAGTATAAGCAAATATATCAAGGCAGCATTAATTTTTGGCCGTAAAACGCCTCGATTTGCCAGCGATACAGAAAGTTGAACGGAACAATCAAAATGACCACCGACAACAGAAGTTGTCGGTGGGCGACTAGTATTTGGTGCGCTTCTAATCAAGGATGTATCCCCTTAACAGTACAGCAGCAACCAAAACTGTTGACTCAACTCAATGCTTGGGTCTCCAATACATCAAGCCATTGGAAGTCTAGCCTAACACAACATAAATTGCCGATTGGTCAGCCACGTACAGAGTTCGAGACGGTGCCAAATATTGCACCGTCATATTTGGATCACAGGAGTCTGACGTCTCTACAAACAATTCTAAAGAAACACCCAATAGCGCATTAATGTTATTCTTGTGACTGTTTACGAAATATTGCAAAATTGGCCTGACAGACTAATCGCCACCTGATCAGTAACAAATGAACTCCCCGAGCAGCACGTCGACGTATGAGCAACTGAGTGTCCTACGAATGTGGTGTGGTAGGATGTCGTTCACTGATTAGCGTATGAAATATGCGGAGAGAATACTTCCATAAACTTTACCCATTGAGGTGAAATGATTTCAACCGAACTTTCGTCAAATTGAATTCCGCCCTAAATTATGGATTGTGAATGGAGCTTTGACAGTTCTGGATTGACCTCGTAGATTGTAGTCTGTCAGGTATCCAGTGAAGTAACTTCCAAATAAAACGAGCAGAGTACGCTTTTCACTCAGTGATTCTAGTGCGATCGCCTCATATCGGATTGC